AAAAAGAAAGAAAAAAAAAAATTGCAAAAATAGCGAATTATTGTTAATTATTGAATGTGGCATTTACTGAGTCTTAGAGAATCAGACTTAAGGAAAATTACTACTGTAAAAATCTGTTTTATTCACTTCATGATTCAAAATATTTTTCTAGTTATAATCATGACTCCAAAGAGAAATGTAGATAATAGATAAATTTTTATTAAACATTATTGTTATTAAATACATTAATAACAATGTGGCACCGTTTTATTGAATTTAAATGATTACATTAACGATAATTGTGGTTTGATTTTGGTCATAAGATGGGAATCAGTACACAGACAAGACAAAGACTACATTTTCAACTAAAAAAATTCTTGCTGGGAATGTTCATATAGAAATGGTTATATGCATAATGTAAATTGAAAGAACTTGTTCATAGTATTAATTTGTCAATATAATTTTTAATTAAGCTTTTATATTCGTTTTTTAAGGTCTTGAATGTTAATACAAAACTTTGAAAAATCGTCAGTATCGAATAGTGGATCTAAAAGCGCCTGTATGTATAATTGTTAATAAACAATGTCATCACAAAAAAAAAAAAAAAAAAAAAAACACAAACTTTGCTGGCTGTAATTCTCTCCGTGGATGGATATTTTAGAAATTTTGAAATAAATTGTACATCTTGCGACTTTGCTTTAGGTAAATGTTTAATTGTTAGTCCATCACAATCTTTTTTAATAAAAGTAAACTTGCCATAATCCGGAAAATCTATCATCTCCTTCATAAAAACAAATGTTAAAACACAACAAATAAATAATGAACAATAATAAATAAAGATTACTTACAGGCCAGGTTGATTCATCAGGAACTCCTAATATGCGAAAGATCTCACTTAATTGCCCAATATCATTTTCGCCATGAAACAATGATGAACTGGCGGGTTTTGTAAAAAATTCAGCAAAGATACATCCAAGTGACCATAAATCAATTGCATTAGAATAATTTTCGGCTGAGTAAAGAAGTTCTGGAGCGCGATAATATCTATAAAACAAATTTAAAGTTATAAAACAAAAAAAAAAAAAAAAAATTGAATTAATCTTTTTAGACTAACCTTGTTCCAACTTCGAATTTCATTTTACCTCTAGGTTCATAACCATTATTAGAATCCACCCATGCTATTCCAAAATCAGAAATCTTGATAACACCAGAGTCACTAATTAATATATTATTTGGTGATAAATCTCTATGTATCACACCATTATTATGAATATGAACAACTCCAGTGAGTATCATCCAAATACAAGACTTGACTTCGTGTGGTGAAAGAGTATAATCTTTCAATAAAGATTTTAATGTTAAGGGACAATAAGGAAATATAATTGCATTAACATTCGGTTTGATATTTAGTAATTTAGAAAATGATAGTGATGATATTATTTCTATTGATTCTTCCAATGAAAATATTGATATGATCTATTAGCATAATTAGAAATTTAAAAATTTTAAATAAGTGTTAATAGAATTTGATAAGACCAAAATAAAATAAACATACATTTTCATGTTGAACTTTGCGTAAAATTTCTATCTCGTTTGGAATCCGTTCTTGCACAGGTCTTTCATATTTAACTTCCTTAGCTCTTTTAATAGCAACAAATGTTTCTGTTGACTTTTGTTTGGCTTTATATACAATGCCAAATGTACCGTCTCCGCAAATTTCAAGAATCTCAAAAGTATTAGTACCCATCAATAAAAGATCAGCTAGTACTGTAGTAAGACAGAGATTTTCGATGATCAGATAAAATTACGTATCGATATGTATAATCTGATAAGGATTTTTTGTTTCGCTCCCATATGAAATAAAATGGTAACTAAAGAGGTTTATCAATATTATCTTTTTTAATTAAATGTTCTAAACATTTCTCTACTAAAATAGACACAACAAGACGAAAATTTCACGTCTCTCTCAAAACTTTATAACCATGTTTCTTCTTTCACGGCAAGCCTCGAGGATGGTGTTCTTATAGATGTAATACTTTTTTAGTCTCATTTTTTTTTAAGAATATACTTGCGAAAAAAAGGAATAATTTTACTATCTTCTACTCAATAGGCCACTCAAAACGTAACACAGTCTCAAGCAACTACCGTTCATAAATTATTACAAAATGTAAATCTGTTATTAGCAAAGCAGCAGGAAAACATAAATTCTAAGAATGTGGTTGGTACTGAAGCCGAAGAGAAAAACAATACAACGGCTGCTGTAGCAAATAGAGTAACAGGTAAAATTTTAATTTCAAAGAATATGTACATAAATTGATATATTCTATTAAAGAAGCTTCTTCCATCAGTTACATTTCAGGATCATAACTATGGGTTTACTGTTTTAGAAAATAAAATTTATGCAATAAAACGGTCAAATTAGTCAAATTGGACGACCCTTAGCTAGAGCTAGCCAGTTGTGAACTGAGAACCTCGAGGTGGGCTAACCTGAGATTTTAAGCTTAAAAAACAATACATATATACTAGGAAACAAAAACTTTTAAATGTTCATGAAGTTCAAATTATTGTGTTTGTATTTTTTACACGCTTTTTCAAAAGTGAACATCTAATTACACCCAAGATTATTGCTGTGAGTAGTGTTGGCTTTTTTTCATTATTATCACATAATTTATATAATTTATTTAAATTTCATATTCATCCTAAATAATAAAGAAATCCTCGTAATATACTTCAACATAATATATATATATATATATATTATATAATAATCAAAGTCACAAAAATACCAATCGTAAGATTTTTGAAACATGCATTCTTTAAATTAAATCAACCAAGTACAACTCACCCTCAATATAGTGAAGAATTTTGAAACATGCATTCTTTAAATTAAATCAATCAAGTATAACTCACCCTCAAGGTGGTTTTTTTTTTGTAAATTTTTGAAATAATGGCGATTTTTATCAAAACGAACGTGTGGCTTATTGTACCCTCGTTGATATGTTACTGTAAACCTTTCCTGTGCTATTGATGAAAAGGCAGGTCGATGTTGCGTGAAGAATTTTGAATTACGGTATTAAATTTCAGCTCGACATAGTGAAGAGTGCACCGACTAAGACCTGTAGGTATTTATCCCTGAAAAAAAATATATATATACACGGGTATAGAGATCTGCAAATTACTTATCTTTGTAGTCAGACCTGGCCCGCTTTTAATTTTAAAAATTTTTTGTCGGTCTGTCCCGGCCCGCAAATATATAATCTTTAAAAAAAATAAAATTTATAAACTAGGTGCTAAGAAAAAGAACCAAATTGACAATTTTTTCAAAAGTTTGTTTTGAGCTTAACTAATCCAAAATTAGCCCAAAAACATTTTTTACTTAAACAAACAATCTTAATAAAATTTTGAAATATAACTTTAAAAGTTTTTTCCTTTAATTTATTATAGGATTTATAATCTAAAAATCAATCTTCCGCAAACCCTTTTCCAAAATATAAATATAAATATATATATATATTCAGTGTTCACAAGAACATAAATTTTTTTAAAAAATCAAAATTTTTTCACATTTGTGAACATAAATAATTTTATCTAATTAATAAAATTTATTTATGATCATTATTTTTTTAATGTGAACATGATAAAAAACAGAATGTTCACAAAATTATCATACTGCCTTATGCATTTCCAACATTGGACCCAATGCAGGCCTCTACACGGTATTTTAAATAGATTTAGTCGGTGCGCACGGTATAATATGTATTCATGACGTCAGTTATTTACATGGCCAGATGCATATATGAATGTAAGTAATTCAATTACACATCGTATTAGGGATAAGTCCAGTATATAATAAATAAACTCGAAAGCACAATATCTAGTTTTTCCTTGGAGTCACCTATATAAACTATAATGACGATTTTTTTTCCAACCTAGATGACTTCACTATAATGAGAGTAATTGGGCATTAAATAACATTAAATAAACTAAACATGAAGTTTGTTACACAATTATAAATTACTTTATTCTTTTAATAAATTGTTTCGTATAATTAATCTATATTGATTAAAATTTATTATACGTTTAAAAAGAAAAAGGAAAACATTAAAATCACAGTATAGAAAGAAATACGAACCAAATTTACAATACAAATTGATTTATAAAACAACCGATCTCATGGTGTAATAAA